AATAATTAAAACTGGTTCACACCTTCTATTATTATTTCTATATTAATTATTGTATCCTTTAATTCCTAGAGGAATATAGGGCTTCAGCCGTGCGTCTCCATTGCGTTCGGTTCTCTGCTAGATTCTTCACCTGGCTCCAAGTCTGCCCACACGTTTTCATCTCCTCTTCACATGACCTCCTCCAAGTCACCCTTGCACTGACGACCAACTCGCCGCTTCCCACTCTGTCGGGTTCCACTCGAGCGATGGCTTGTCTAGTGATGTCACTTGATGGTTTGTTTCCTCAGGGTATGGCCAATCCATCTCCATTTCCTCCTGCCTATTTGTTTCACAATCGGTTCCTGCTTAGTTGGTTCGCTCATTGCCAGAGATCTCTGTTGCTGATCTTTTCTGGCCGGCCATCTGATCTTAAGTATTGAGCGAAGGCAGCTGTTAATGAAGGTCTGTCGTTTGTTTGAGGTGCTCTTTATGACGCGCACTGCAAGTCTCTGATCCGTATAGTACGTAGCACTGACTTCACATTGGAGTTGAAAATCCCGATCTTATTCTTGATGCTGAGTGCTGTTGATCTCCACACAGACTTGAGAGTAGTGAAAGCTTGTCTTGCTTTTCCGGCTCTTGCTTTGATATCCTCGTCAGTTCCGCCTGTAGTTGGAACGATGCTTCCCAGGTCGGTAGGTGGAGGTGGTTGCTTCTCTCAGATTTCTCCCATGTATGCTGATTGTTGTCTGTTGTTTTTGCTGCTGTTGGTGGTGTATGCCAGGAATCTTCATTACCTCTGCTTTATCTATGTTCACCTGAAGTCCTATCTTTGATGCTTCTTCTGCTAACTTGTTGCTTTTCGCTTGCATATCTTCCAGTTTGTGGGAAATCAGACATATATCATCGGCGAAGTTTAGATCCTCCAAGTTTTAGTGTATGTCCACTTATGCCTGTTTCCTCATTGCCCACTGTTTGTCGCATTATCCAGTCTACTGCAATCAGGGAAATCATTGACGATAGTAGGCAGCCAGCTTGTCTTACTCCTGTCCTCACTTCGGAGTGTTCCGTAAGTTTCCCGTTGTGGATTACTTGGCATGTAGCATTGTCGTACAAGTGTTGGATGAGATGTATATTTGTTGGCGGCACCCCTTAGTAGCGAAGTAGTTTCCAAATCACCTCTCGATCGACGCTGTTGAAGGCCTTTTCAAAGTCGATGGAGATGAGATAGAGAGGTGACTGCCATTCCAATCTCTGTTCAGTGATGGTCCGTAATGTGGCGATATGATCAATGCATGACTTGTTTCTCCTGAATCCAGCCTGTTCCGGTCGAAGTTTTTCATCCAGGGCTTGTTTGATTCTCTCCAGGATGATGCGGCTTAGTAGAAAGGAGCATAACTCCGCGCCAGTTCTTGCATTGACTTAGGTCTTTCTTCGTTGGTATTTTGAATAAGTATCCTTTCTTCCAATCTTCGGGTACTTTGCCTTCTTTCCACACCTTCTCCAGTAGAGGCGTCATCAAGTCCGCTGTTGTCTCTGGGTCCATTTTCAACGCTTCTGCAGGGATTCCACCTTCTATACATGCTGTGCAATGTCAACTATATTGGAATGGTTATTTCCATGAAATCTGAGATAATCTCAGGTTTTGAGTTGCCTTTCACTAGGTAGCCATTCTTCCAATCCTCTACTACTTTTCTTTCCATCTACACATTCTATAATAGTGGAGTAAGACTAGCCACAGAGATCTTTTGGTTGGTTTTTCAGTGCTTGTCGCATGGGGGAGGGTGTCAGGGATTTTGTCGGAATCTGTTGCTTTTTTGGATTTTGGTAATTTTATGGATTTCAATGCATGGGTGAGGATATCAAAGCCAGTAAGCATCTGGAAGGTGAGACAGACCTTCATCAATCTGAAATCAGTGTGGAATTCTACTGCACTCAACATAAGGAACCGAAGGCTTAAGGAACAAGATTCTGATTTTCAACACTAATGTCAAGTCAGTTAATGCTTCTATACGTTTCAGAGACTTGCACTGTACGTCATCAAAAGCATTTCTCATTAACAACTTCCTTCACTTTATCGATACTGAAGATCAGACGGCCTGTTAGAAAAGACAGGTAATAAGGAACTCTGGTAGGTAGTGGACCAACTAAGAACTTATTGCCCGACAAATATTCCGGAGGAAATGGAGATGGATTCTACAATTAGAGAGCACCATTGAATGAAATCATGCGCTGCACCAGCCTTCGAATGGGAAACGACTAGCTGGGTATGAGACCAAGAGTAACGTAGAGGATATCGTGTGTGAAGGAGATAAGGGTTCATGGGCACTCGTGGAACCAGCTAAAGGGAACTTCAAAGAAGACGATGGAATGGAGAAGGGCTGTTGAAGTTCTATGTTCCACTTGGAAAATGGGGAAATAATATTAATGCCTTTCAAGACTTCTGTTTTTGTTAGAGGGTTGGTGACCACAGGCATTTTGTTGGCTAGTAGTAGTATTTCTGGAAGACATGGGGATATCAATCGACTGAGGAGTCGTGTGAACTGATCAGCCTAGTTTTTCCCCTGTTCTACCTCTTTGGTAATTGGGTTTCCTTTTTTACACTCGAATGGCCTCATCTGAGATGACCTCTTTCCTGATAATGACCTGATTACTAGATATAGTGGTCTGAGGTCTCTCTATCCTCCTTCTCTTCACTATCATCATCCTGGAGTCGGTAGGGAATCACTCCTTGTCCTTTCTAGAATGCCTATGGGGGTTTCTTTCCATGTTCTTTCAAAAGAGTTACAATTTTAAAACTTACGACTTCTATATGACGCTCCTAGTCCTCTCTCTTACCCACAGCCTGTTCTGCTTGAATTTTCAGTGTATTTTGTTCTTTCTAGCCCTCATATCCACTCTTGTATTCAGTCAGCTGTAGGTTGTTGCACTCAGTTTCTGCTTTCGTTGTTCATCTCTACACTGGTTCATTTTCTAATTTAGTATCTTTCTATTCACAGTCATCTATCAAGTGCTTGTAGTGAGTCATTCCTCGTTCTGGCTAGGATGCTTATGCAGGTTTCGCCACATATCACTTTCAAAGAGATTCTGTGCTCTCCCATGCAGGTTTCCGCAGTGGTGTTGTTTATCACTCTATCTTTTTTTACGATAACTGCCATGAATGTGTCATTTTTGGCTTCGTCCTTCATCCTCTGATTGCTGAAGTCGAATTTTCGTCCATCTCTGGCTTCACTGATAGCTCTTAACTTGATCTAGGGGTGATCTGTATACAAGTCTGTTTCTCTTCTCCATCTTGTGTACAGTAGTCTGAATATTCATGCACACTTCTGAGAAGAGTTTTCTGTTCCCATTCATTCCATTGAGTAACTCCCGACCTATGCTGATCAGTTTTACTGTGCTCTATGATACCGGTTTGTTGATCCTTTCACCCACTAGCATTTTGGTGTTCTCATCTGTTTACGGCTGTTCGTAGAAGGTCTACTTCTTCTCTTGATATGCGTTGTCTGTTGACGTGTAGCTATAGAAAATTGTGAGTTGGCTTCCTTTTAAGTTGCATCTTACTGTCATAATCCTAGAGGACATCAGTTTCTAGTTTATGGGGTCCTTCGGTGTTGCTAGTGACGTCATGATGGCCTCGCTATCAGTTGTTTTCTAGATGACTGGAGTAGATTTCTGACTCACTAGTTCATAGCCTGGAGAGTCTGTATCTGTTGCATCTGCTCTCACAGGTTCTTAACACTTTTATACAATATCTTCTTATTTTTGCTGCAGCCTGCTTACCTAGACAGCCTCAAAAATGGTAAAGGCATTCAATGTCGATATATACTTACTTTTGCCTTTATCGAAGGGAGGCTTTCAGTCTTTGATGTCATTCATCCTTGAAGTGACCGGTAATCCCAGTTGCACCAGACGGCCAGTTTGTTTCCTCTGTGCTTTGAAATTTGTTGAGCATTTGTGGTTTTCCTCAAGGGTTGCCAAATCTTCCCTGTTTTCCATTCTTTAGACTGTCTGGGAAACTAGGTGAGGCTTGTATAATGCTACATATAGTTCAGTTAATAATATTAAATAGCTCTTAGACATCATAACTCTGGTGTCTGCTCATCTGCGGATAAATCGTTCGCCTTTTACTAAAGATTTCCTTAGGGAGGCGCAATACAATGAGTCTTGCCTCATTTGGTTTTGGTATCCTGCTACGCTAATAAGAGGCCTTCTTGGTCATAATGAAGTGACATTCAAGAAACTATAAACTTGTTAAACAAAAGGTTTCTGTAGATGAGATGTGAACTGATATCAGTTAGAGAGGAAAGATGAAAATCACCAAGGGAGGACTGGACTGCTATTTCGTCCTAGTGCTTGGAACTCTTCATCAGTACACACTCGCCGTGGTTCTAACTCAGGACCTTCTGGTCACAAGGTAAGCTCGTAGACAATCCAGTCACTGGGACTTGACTCAGTGACCCATGAAACTTGAAACAAATCATATTCCTACCAACTAGACCTTGAAAATTAGTCTGATGCTCACCAGTGATTGGCTGGCTACAGGATGAAGTTGACTGCAGCGTCAGTGAGAAGTCGTGACCAGTGGGGTCCAACAGGTCGGGAGTGGGGACAAACACTCACCGATGACACTGGTTGTTGGTCATGAATTGGTGGAAATTGAAACTCATGCACGCAATTGGAGTGGGTTCCACTATCTGAATGGTTTACGAAGGACCTTGGGTTCGAACCCGACAGTGTGGATACTACTGAAGAGTCCCCCACTAGGACAGAGTAGATGTCCAGTACTCTCTGCTGGTTTTCAATGGTGTACTAGCTGACATCAATCTGCGGTGTAACTTGAAATAGATCAAATCCTTAAAAAAAGGACTCCTGAAAGTTACCATTATGATTCATAAGCACGACAATTGATAATGTATCTTTTGTAAACTTCGTTTAGTGAGTTGAACTATGATACATGAAATGCTTAATAACCAACTCTAATATAACGAGCTTGTCTTTTTTTAATTGATTTTCCCTTCAAGGTATGGTTTCAGAATAGACGAACGAAATGGCGTAAAAAGAATGCAGCTGAAATGATGTCTAGTAGGCCTAATTTATTCAACGAACGTTCAACATCGAATTTAAGTAGTAATAACAAAAATAATGTAAATATAAGAGGCGGTGATTATGAAAATACTGAAGCCGGCAGTGAAAGTATGAGCGGTGATGAATGCTTTTCATCAGATGATGTCAACATGATGCCAGCAGAATCAAGCAGTTTACAACAGCTGGAAGAAAATTGTCATTCAGAGATATCTACTGATAAACAGACAAGGCATCATTCCAATTCACTGAATGTCAACGACAACAACAACAGAAGCGCTATTGGAGTTAACTCGATGACATTTGAACAAATCCCTATGGCGATAGATTATACAGATAACCAAAGGACAACAGCTTCAAATGATTTGGCTAAAGACGATGTTGTTTCACACAAACAACATCAAATTGATGACATAAACTTATCACATTTCTTACCCGATTCACTGGCACAGCATAACTGGTTGCTAAAAAGCCAACAATCCAATCCAGTGAATATGTCGTCAGCATCAACGACTACTGCTCAACAGATGAATACAAATCACTCCTCATTCCTTCAAGCATACGGGATGAAAGCTTTCGATACATACCATAGTGATAAATCAAATGAAATATCATGCATGGAAACAACAATGCACAGCAGTAATGCTAACAAGAGAAAGCACTCTTTTCATAGTAACGGTTTATCATCCCCTTCACATTCAGTTAAAGAATTCATTCCCTCCAGTGGTGTTAACGATACATCCGCTTCACTCTATCCAACAAGTAATTCAGACATTCAAACTGTAAACGATAGTATGAAGTATTCGCTTACTGCAAATCTTCAAAATCATCATTTAATCACATCTATGAACAATTTAAATAAAAGATCTTCTAGTGTTGTAAACAATTATGAAAATTTATCACCCTCTGAAGATTTATCGCCTAAAAGATATCAAAGTTTTTCAATAGCAAATTCTCAGTAATACGTAAATATGTATACATATATAAATGACGTGCAGACTTCCTGCCAACCATACCATGTTTCATTAGTGAGAATTCTTACTTAATTCAATCGTATGTATGAGCTTGTTTTGTCACACCCGAGGCGGAATTTGTAAATATCAGCGAAAAACCAATGATTTCATCTCATTATTGGATGATTTGTTTTTTGTTGATGTATCTATCAGCGATTCACTTTCTTACCTTGTATATTCACTGAAATGAAGTCGACCTATTTAGTAAAGTATTCATAGACTTCATCGTAGACATCTTGTTAATAATAATGAATCATTAAAAAAATACCTCGAAATATTTTCTTCCTCAGTTGATTTTCACTTTTTTTCTCTCCTAAAATATACTACTACCCCTACTAATACTAATTTTGTAATCAGTAAACAACTAAGACATGGGACAATCGCAACATAATATTACCAAAGATAAATCATAAGGTCGATAGTTTATTTAAAGTATCCCGCAAATTTTGTTTTACTATTTTAATTTCCAAGGTCACATTTTGGCGGTATGTCCGTCTACCAATTAATGGATGATATAAAATACTCTTATCTAGAAAGAATGATGACAGTGACAGAAAATCATTTATGATAAGTTGTTAAAAACCAAAAGGAAAGAAGAATCCCATTCTTTTTCGAATGCTGTCACTTGAATTTGCGTCATTGCGTAATAATTGTAAAAAATTCTGTCATTAGGTATTCCCTTCTCTTTGTTTTGTGCAATCAGTATATACATATACATATATGACAAGAAATAATACAATAAAATATGTAATTTAGGATAAATGTTTTAATGTTTTGTTCATTTAAAGTTAGCGCGTTGTATGGGCTATCACTCTGAAAATAGGTTTCATTGTATACCAGAAAGTGATGGAAGATATTCAATTAGACATTGATGTTAAGTGGTTGGAGATGATGATAAACAGAAAGTTTGGTACATAGGTTTTGTAAAAGTTGGGCACTCGTCAGTAACGCGTACCTGTAACCTTAGAAGAAATGATATCGCTTCTGAGATTCGAAACTCGCGTCGTCATGCAGTGATGCGATCCGAGATGTTACTACTAAGATATCCAGGTTGACAAGTGATGTCCTGTAGGGCATTAGTAGATACATTAGTTGTTCATGAATAATCTTCATTCAAACACTGATGAAAACAAAAATTGCAGTTCAGCGAAGAGAATCTTTTCGGCGAAATCATTTCCCTCTTCAGCTCTACTATCGTATTTATACACAATTACATTTGCACACAACAGGGTAGTAACAAAAGAAATGAGTTGTCACAAATATAGTTGTTAATATTAGTCAGTATCCGTAACTTTGAGGGGACTCACAGTCCTTACAGCATCCTTCCAGCTACTCACAACCCTAGAAAGTCTATTCCATGATCATGAAGCTCTTAGTTTAATGATCACAATGCAAAACAGAATACCGTCGATCTCAAGCACTTTAGCAGGACATCTTTGTATAACTGGGTTTTCTGTCATCATTTTAAACTGGCTTGACGACTTTGGGTGATCTTCCATAGGTTGCCCTCGGGCGCCCAGTTCGTCACTCTCTCCACATTCAGGTTCTACACTACGCCATGGAGTGTCATATCCCTTGAATGCTTTCTCAGTTTATATCAAATTCATTTCCATTTTCTCCTACATATATCTCTACCTCAAATTCATAGAATTTGAAAATTCCTGCCACAATTTCGGCCTTGAAGTAATTTGGGAACTGCCTTAACACTGTGGACTACCACAAACCTTCAACAGCTATATTACAATGCCATGTGTCACATGATCCACAACGGAAAACTCAGTGAAGTCCTGGAAATGAAGACAGAATGCGGTAATTCAAGGCTGCCTACTATCGCTGATGGTATTTTTAATTGTGTTGTATTGGATTATGTGGAACACTGTGCCTGGCGAGCGAGAAAACAGGAATGTGCCAGACCAGTAAGAAGATTCTGGGAGATGTGATCTTCGTGGATAATTAGTGTATAATGTCACACACACACACTGGAAGCCTTACTGGCAGAAACCAAAAAAGTTGGCAGATGAGACTTACAGCAAATATAAGACTTCAAGTGAGCATAAAGAAGACGGAGGCGTTGAAGATGCTCACTAACCAATAACATCAACAAGTATTGATCACAGTCAACAGGATAAATTTGAAAGAGGTTGATTGCTTCACTTATCTGGGCACCGTCGTTCCAACTAAAAGAGGACGGAACGGATGAGGATGTCAAGACCAGAATCAGAAAAAAAACAAGACAGAACTTCACCTCTCTAAAATAGGTTTGGAAATCTGCTGCACTTAGCACAATATAGGACATAAATAGATTCTTAGAACATATCAACTCGAAGGCAGAGGCAAATGAATTCACTTGAAAAGTTAGGAAGGGTAGCTCCTAATGGTAGAATGTAGCGTAAAAAGGAAAGTGTTATGTATGTGAATATGAGGACCTTGTAGACTACGAGCGAATCTAACTAATGCGCTGGCTAATCTGTCTTAACCGCACGTCAACAACAACAACAATAATACCGCCGGGCACGCAAGACAAATAAAAGAGAAGACTGGACGTTGATATGAGAGCTTTTACTGTCTCAAACAACAGTCGAAAATGTTAAACAACAACTCCGTATTTATACAATTAGAAAAATCAATGTCACCTTTTAAAAATATTAACGACCTTGGGGATTCAGTAATTTAAATCAATAATCACGCAGATGCGTGAAATCAATGATTATGCTAAAGTGTGAAATAAATAATGAATATTAATGATTCCCCTGCGTATATATTACCTCCCCCTTTTAAAAGGAATCTTGCAATCAGTTTAGTATCTTTTTTCCTTGGGGTCGATTTGGAAAGGAACTGTTTGTGTTCGTTTGCGCTGGGATCGTCGGCTGGGTAGCATCTCTTGTTTTGCTTCTGGTTTGACTGGTGGTATTTTGAAAGTTTCCAGTAGTAATTCCAGTGGCAATTTAGGTTCTTGGGATGTAATATATCGACGTCGTATCTGATTTTTATGTCTAATCCACCATTCATCCCCAACTTTAACCTTGTACATTACAGTTCCATGTCGACATTCTATCAAGCCTTCGGCCCCTTTTCTGTTCCTCGGTCGATAATCGCGCACATAGACGGCATCACCCTTGCGGTAATACGTCAGACTATTTCTTCGTTGATGTGACGAAGATGGTAACATGGAGTGGTGATGAGTTCGTAGCATTCGACCCATTAGAAGTTCTGCAGGGCTTTTCTTCTGTTCTGCCAGTGGGGTAGTTCGGTATACAAAAAGAAAGTTTTGTATTGCTTCCGGTTTCGCCCCTCCCCCTGCTTTCAACAACGCTCGTTTGAAAGTGTCGACAAATCTTTCTGCCTGACCGTTGGATTGAGGGTGATAAGGTGGCGTCCGCACGTGTTGTATACCGTTTCTCTTGCAAAATTCCTGGAACGCTTGTGAGGTGAACTGACTGCCATTGTCAGATACGATGATTTCTGGTATACCGTGACATGCGAAGATCTTTTCCAGGACTGATACTGTTCTGCTGCTAGAAGGTGGTGTCACTTGTATTACCTCCGGCCATTTTGAGTAAGAGTCCACGAGAACCAAGTAGTACATACCTTCTATCGGCCCAGCAAAATTCACATGTAGGCAAGACCATGGTTTTGACGTGGGCCATGCTCTCGGTGGCGGATCTTTGGCTGCCATGGCAGACATCACCTTCAGTTTTTGAGCAGAGCCTCTCTTACTGGAGCCAACAGTTGCTACTTTGTTGCTACCAGACATCGAAGCACTTTTGGCGCAGCCATACTCACTGTGACGATTCGAAGTTGGTTTTTCATTAATCACGTCATTCTTTATAATGGGCTTAGGTTTAATATATCTGTCTCTGATTTCTGGTTTTCTTGTTGAGGGCTCAATACTTTCAATCTTCTGGCATACACTGCTTAACGGAATCTCTGGCAGGTGCAGCTTCTCGAACCAGTCTAAACCCAAGAGGTCAAGGTTTGAATTATTGATGTAGCATGTGCCGACGAAATGACTATCACGAAACCCAACGCTGCATTTAATTTCTCCATTCAATCGAAGTTTTCCACCACCTGCACTAATTGCTATCTGATTTGTCTTCTCTATGGCAGGGCATCCCAACTTCTGCCATAATTTCTTTGATATTATTGTAATATCGGATGCTGTGTCGATTTGTAGGCGTGCCGGCCGTGTATTAATCGTCAAATTGATATATTTGCGAGGTGCTGGCGTACTAATATGATATGTGGCAGTAACACCCAAAGACTTGAGCTTGTTGCGCCGTCTGAGTCGACTACGAGATCTGGGTCGGTTGTTGCGTTTGCAGTAGCCATCTTTGTGACCAACAGTATGGCATCGACGGCATTTATGCTGTTTGAATGGGCACAATTTTGCAAAATGCCAGGAGCCACAGTGCCAGCAGGGTGATGGTGGTTTATGCTGAGGATGAAGCGGTGCGGTTGATGTCGACGGTACTGGATGCACCGCATGCACTTCTGCTGCATTTTGGCTGCCAGACTGCACCAAGACGGTATCGTTGTGAATGTTGATTAAACGCTGATATTCTTCACCGACGTCTTTCAAAGTCATTCGTGGATCTTGTTCCAGACGATTTAATAGACGTGTGCGTATATCAGCAAATTTGGGTGACTGCAAACCACAAATGAAAATCAGTACCTTGAACTGGTCTTCTGAGAGTGATTTCAATTTAAAACGTTCACACGTGCGATTGACTATACCCAACTGAGTATGGATATCATCATTTTCGTTCAAAACTAGTTTCATGCAATGATATCGAATGTTGAATAATGATCTCTGATCACCGAACTGATGACGAAGGGTATGGACAGTTTCATCAAATGATCTTTCACTGGGCTTCTGTGGCAGAATTAAGTTGCAGTATTTATCTAGCTCATCTGCTCCCAATTTACGAAGAAGAAGCCGTACTTTCCAG